GTATCTGTGACATCGCATGCCACATACATAACCAAATTTTTCTTAAAAAGGAAACAAATTGGTTGTTATTATTAAGTGATCTGTCTTGTTTTCTATTGTATATTTATAATCGGCAAATATATAATATATAATTAAGCAAAAGTATTATCCGATTACTCGATTAATTGATGGAGTATTCAATAGAATACTCGATTACCAAAATATTCAATAGCTGCAGCCCTGATTCGTATTGCTTTTTTAATTTTTTTTTATTGCTGATAAAACTGTTTTTCATCATCTTTTTATTAGTTGATATATATTTCGTATTAATAATCTGCGATTCACTGAAACTAGTAAAGTTACATAATAAATGGAGTAAAAAGTACAATATTTGCCTTGCAAATGTAGTGCAGTAGACCTATGAAGTAGCCTAAAATGGACATACGCAAGTAAAGTACCTTAAAGCTGGACTTTTTTTTCTTACTATTTTTGTCTTATTATGAGTTATACTATCATAAATGACACAGAAATTCCTGACTTCAGTGAACCCACTGAGCCTGACTAACCCGGCTAACCGACTAACATGCTACAGCTGAAAGGAAACAACCGGTGTACTGCCAAAACGTTCCGGGTAAAACTTAGTCGACAAACTATAAATGCGTTATTTTGGCAGACTGAAAACGTCCTGTACCAAACGGCTCGGGACGAATACACCCCTACTGCTCAGGTTGTCATGATACCAGATACAATACTAGTATAAAAAGATTTTTTCTATACACACAAAATAAAATAATATATGGAAGTGAACAACCTACACATAAATGCTGGTACAGAAAAGTCACTAACCACATATTATGCATCTGTTTCCTTCTGTATTTTCAATACAATTGAATGTATAATTAACAGATTGTATCGTTTTTAAAATGTGGCATCAAGAAAGTGTCGTTGTACTTTAAAAACCTTACTTCCTGGTATAAATTACAGGTATTACACCCAGATTTGAGTGCTGAGTGATGGCGTTTTTAATGAAGTGGTCCTCAGTCTGTCACACAGAGAGCTAGACGAGGCTGATTTGATCTCAAGTGAAAAAGTGTGAAAGAGAACTGACTGGTTGCATCAATAGCTGTGTGAAGCTATGTTTACTGGTGTGAAGAAAAAAGGCGGGGGGGCTATTTAACGTGCATTTTTGTCATAGCAGTGCTAAATTCAAGGGGACAGGGGGAACTGGTTGGCATTTGGATGAGTGAGGAAAGCAGAGACTGAAAGAGAGAGATTTCTGATAACTCAGATGTTTTATTTGGCACGAGGAGAGCAGAGAATTGGCAGAGTTAAGGAAGAAGAGCAGTGATACAGTTGTAAACCACCAAAAACAGACGAAGCAGCAGTGCTTTTTATTATAAGTACATAAAATATCCTAAGCTTTTAAAGCTAGACTAAATAATTGGTTGTATATTCTTGGTTTCCTCTTTCACTCGCCCCACAGAAACAGTGCGTGAGTATGAGGTCCAGTTCCACCAGCGCCTGGACCAGGAGCGAGCCCAGTGGAACCAGTACCGGGATTCAGTGGAGAGGGAACTGGGTGAGCTGAGACGCCGTCTCTCCGAGGGCCAGGAGGAGGAGAACCTGGAGGACGAAATGAAAAAAGTAGGCTTCATTTTTCTCCTCCTTACTGTTGGATTTTACTCATACCTCGTCTGCTGTATGTGTGCGTCGTGTGTATGAAGCACTGAACTCCACCAC